GAGTTTAAATTTTCACTTTTATGTTAGTTTACTCAATATACACATAAACATTCGGGGAAGTAGGTCTACAGGCTTTAATTCCACATTTTTGTCATTTGTAATCTTTGTCGACGAAAAGAACATTTGCCATAATACATACTCAGTGTTTCTGAAAAGTGGCTCAGACCTAGATGGGAATGAAGGCCAGGAAAGACCTTTAGCCAGAAAAAGGAGTCGTAGGGATAGGGCAAGGTAGTCCACTCCTCGTTTTCATCACCAAGTCCTAGCAAATTAATGTAATTTTTTCTTTAAAAATCGCCGTAATTGATGCACTATCTCTTAAGACACCAATGCCACTAAGTGATCGGTCCCACATCCGGAGGGCATTGCATTTTACTTATGCTTCTTGTAAAAGGCCTAATGAACTACCGCCTTTTTCATTCGCACTAGGAGTTGGACGGCAACATAGTAGCCTATATGAATCCGTCAGTCTATCAACCATCTAAGAAGAAACAGTCTATAGTTGTATTTCATAACAAATTATTTCACGCCAACTACACGCGCATGCCCTGACAACCGTGCTTGAATGAACAGGTCTGTTTTAGAAACCCTTTTTGTCAAATCGAGCAACAACAGGAACGGTTAGTTTTAATCGCTGATGTTAATAGGCGTTATCGGTGTCCACTTGATGGCTATAATGTGTTTTCTATCAGCTTGCAGCCACGCGACAGGCCGTTCGCCTAGCCATTGAAGAAGAGAGGAAGACACAGGAGACGCTAGAACGCGAGAAGAAACGAGCAGCGAAGCGCGCAGCCCAACGAGCAACGAAGGTCGCCGACTACAAAGCCGGGATTCCCTGGCTCGGCCCAAGTCCCAGACCGAAGGATATTCGACGGTTTAACTGCCTGGAAAATGAAACTCAGCCTGTAAAGAGATCCAGTCAACTGACGTCGAGGTCGGCTGAGAGGTGAGAGCTTGAAGCCTTTTCGTATGCAATTGTTACTAACCCTTAATCCATGCCACCTCCAAAACGGCTACGGCATCATGATCATCATGGGCTTCGTCGTCCTTGTGGTCTATTTGGCTCGCCGGTACGGGCAGTGGTCATCCACACGCTCTCCGTTTGGCTTTCTACTTTTGCGCTCATTGTTCAACCGACAATGCAATGAACGACAATGTAAATAATAGCTGAAGAGCTTCTCGAATAACTTTAAATAGTGACCGTAACGAGATACGATTGTAACTGTTTGATGGGGTAGGTGGATACTTTCTGATTCCAAACATAGCTGTGTCATTATGCACGGCTTAATCCTTAATCCGTGCTACGGCATCACTCAGCATCATCATCATCATCATCATCATCATCATCATCATCAACCTCAGTATTATCATAAATATAATCAACACCACCATCATCATCATCATCCTCACCATCATCATCCTCAGCATCATCATCATCATCATCATCATCATCATCATCATCATCATCATCATCATCCAAACGCTCCCTGCAACACCGAAAATGAAGTGAAGAATTCATTGCGCTGATTGCTTGCTTGAAAACTGGAAAATCATAGCTCAATTATTTCGCGGATTCGAATGACAATACAAACCTCGTATTTTAAACGCTCTTGTCCCTTTCTTCCCTTGCCTTCACAACTAACTTCTGTAACCTTCTGCATTAACTGCTAAGCATACCTGTCTGACTAGGCAAACGTCGAAAATTTATCGACTGGAAGTCCAATTCTCGCAGATTTAATCGATACGACCCACAAAGTCGACAGGAGAGAAGAGTTTTCACGTCATCTACCAGCACATCTACATCATCTACATCACATCACATGGTCTCGCGAACAGGCGCTAGTAACAACCGAGGCAGTATCGATTCGACTAGCGAGCTCAGCACTCTATCGTCAAAAGATGTTGATTAAGGCGGTATGTCTTCTATAGCAGACTAAAAGTGGTAATCGCACAGGGCCCCAGCCCGGTCACACGTGCGGCCATCGCTCACAACCTATCCCCTTCTCCAATCCCAACCCCAACTTCTTCAATACGCCAACCCCGCATTGCAGGCGGCATGACAACGAAGAGGTGACTAACCATTCCATAACACATAAGTACCGCACATAACTGACGATTTAATTGTCTATGCCAATGCATCGGCCTGATGATGAGTGACAGAAGACATATGTTTGCCAGTCCAACTTTTCTATTGTAATATGGGAATTTTCGCAGAGCAAAGCAGTTGATCATCACCAGTCCCAAGAATACTATATTTGATAGCGCAGGTACGGCACTATCCATACTTTTAAATTGCTCCTTCCCCAAATTATGTGCCTTCATCCGTTAGCTCTCTTTGATTTCGTACCTTGCACGCGCCGCTGGTCAAGCACAGTCTACGGAGTGGTAAGCTCCGATACCAGCTTGGCTGTTTCATAAGATTGCGGATACTATTTATATG